TTTCATATTGAGGTGTATTAAAAAACCCACCAAAACTATATTTTCTTCCATACCACTAATAATTATGTCTTTTGTGTAAAATTCCACTTCCCTCAGACTGTTTTTATGTCAAAGTATAAAAGCTGATAAATTCCTCTCACCAATAAAAAAACCTATTATTTTTACTAATATTTACAAAGGTAAATATATTCAAAATAATCCATTAAAATTGATTAGTTTCAAGTCTTCTTTAGAATCCAGAGAGGTCCCAGTTCATTGGAAGCTAGAAAATGTTGTCCTGGTTTTCAGGGAGGACCCTGGAAACTAAAGGCCTGACAGTCTCACTTCAATGCCCATTGAAGTAATGGAAAATACAATTCTGGGAAGTATCGAAAAACACCTGGAGGACAACAGAGTCATCAGTCACAGTCAGCAGGGCCTCATGAACAGGGAGTCCTGCTTACCAAATCTGATTTCCTTCTGCAACAGGGTAACTCACCTAGTGACTATCTTCAGTATATTTTATCCCATCCAAACTTTCCTGACTTAATTATTGTGATATTAAATAAATTCTGAACAGTGAATAGTTCTAAACAGTCATTCTAAAATTATTCTTTTAGAGTTAACAGTGTAAAACCTGCTTGTGATACACACAATGACTGAACTGCCATATGATTTAGTGTTTGTGATATTTTTAACGGCAGCATTTCTTTGGTATTTGAATATATGACAGTTTGCTACAATGCAAATCATGATGTAAGTAAGGATTAACAGCCTTGCACCTGCCCAGCCTGGGAGAAAAAAAAAGAACTTTTACAATAAATCATGTCAAGATAGCAATTTTTTTTTTTTTTTTGCTTTAGCCCATAAAGCAGAAGTGACTGAAAAGCTGTAAGATACAAACTTTAAATGGAGAGCAGCCTTTTCCAGCCAATAAGAACAACAAAACATTTTTCATTTGGTATATTCTTGATCAATTTAGATATGCAGAACAGGCATAGCCTTTCTCTTTTGCAAACAGGCACTTGGCAACTGCTAAATTATAAGTAAATGGACAGTGTTAGGAACAATCATTTAAAGGCATTTAAGGCACCTCTAATATCTGAAGCAAGGCTAAGGCAACAAAGACTTGAGAGAAATTGCTCTAGCTCCACATTGTGTAGCTACTAATAGCAAAAAATATATTGTGCCTTTTTTTTGCAGAAGAAAAAAAGAAAAGCTATATATGAAAAATTGCTGGGAGGCCAAGCCAAGTCACAGGGTAGCTTGCTGTTAATCAGGCACAACTATCTCAAGAGTATTGAGTAATCAGTTTAATCTTTATGACAGGTTGACCCATGTGACATCAAAAGAAAAAATAGGATTGGCTTATGAAGTCATTTTATGTTTTCCATAACTGCACATAAAGATTTACTAGCTACCTGAAATAACATAAACCCTCTGGTCAAAGGTCTGAGGTGCAGAAGCCATTGTTGCTCACAACTCTACAAGCCTGTTAAAATTTGAGGTAATGAGAGGGTAAAACGGTGAAGCAACATGACACAATGTAGAAGGGCTACTGCTTTACTTGTGAGAAGGCTTTTGCTTCCACCAGGGTAAATCTGAAAATTCTTAAGATTGATACCTTGATAGAAGCTGAGGGGTACCCAGGAAGAGTACAGGCACCGTATTTTTCTTCAGGCCAATAATATGTACTATTTCCAGTCTTTTTCCTAAACATGTCATCCTGAATATCCTATCCCCTGTTACCTCACCATGTATATATTTGTTTTGTCTTGTGCTGACCCTACAATGTTCCCCATCCTTCTACGACAGACTATTTTTCCTTTTTAACCTCTCCATCCTACAACTCCCTTCATTGCAAACACATACCACAGCATTTTGGAAGATTTTTTTTCCTTCTTTTCTTTTCCAAAGCACGCTAGCCTCTTTACACCTGTACAGATATGACTGATCTGAGAACGAAAGCGAGACTTATAGTTAATGGTTAGCCAACATTTCCTCTATTTTACTGTAATTTCATTGTAAGCAGAGATCCCAAATAAAGGAAGTTAATTATTTTCCATTAAATATATATAATTTTTTTTTAGTAGAAATTCACATTATTTAAACTTCAGTACAGGTCAAGTTTGCTAAGATTTTGAACAATTTTTTTCAATTATGGGATTAGAGACCTTGCACTAGAATCCAATAGTGCAACTCTTCTATCATACTCCTCTTTTTGGTCCGCATCCCAGATATTATCAGAACTTATCACTGCTGGTGAGCAGTTATTTGCTTAAGGGAGTCACACAGGAATATCTCTTTTCTTCCTCAACTGAGATGAAGGAAAAGCTGAACTGACAGTGTTTACACTTCCTGAATGCTGCCAAATCATCCCTAAGGATTATTTAACTCCAGGGAATATAACAGCATCCTTGAGGAGCAATCTGCGCATTCGGGATACTTTACGTATTGTAACAAATAATAGGTTTTTCAAATAAATAACAAGAAAAAGACTTACTCAGAGGCTCTCATGATTCTAAAATGCCTTGTTATTTTAAACTGCAGAAGTTGATCATTATGATGTATTTTGAGTATATTCAAAATAAAGTTTAAGACCAAAACATAATTAATCCAGTAATTGCACTAACTGATCCGAAATGTAAATGCAAAGTGTGAGCTACATGGAACATCTGTCTTTTATTTGCTATTCTTCAAAGAAAAATAATCCTAATTATTTTAGGCTCCTCAGAACCCACTACACAAATGACATTTTAAGATTTTCAGAACCGTATGCTTGCTATGCCGATGAATGCTAGCCCATGTGTTACATAGTTTGGTTGGTTCAAAAATCTACAAAATAAATCAATCTTAACACAGAACGCTGCTAGTATTCAAAAAGTCAAGGAAAATATTTTGAGTGACTGGAAAAACAATACTTCCTTAACCCAGAAATATTTGTACTGGTCAATGTACTTTTTTTGGTGGTTTTTTGTTTTGTTTTGTTTTGTTTTGGTTGGTTGGTTGTTTTTTTCCCAATAATCTAGAAGTTAACTATGCCTGTAAGAAGTTTCTTAGAGTATTATTTTTCAAAGACAGAAGATGCTATTGAGGATTTCTCTGTTTCAGGAGTCAATGATAGTCACAGATCTCACTGGCTTTGAAATTCTAAATGATAGGAGATAGTGACTGGCATAAAAACTGTTCTCAAATTACCTCATGTCTGAAACTCAACATCTGCTGTCATTGGCAGGTATGACAAGAGTTTTATTCCCAATATCATGATTCTTTCTACTTTAAAGTAGCTGGGAATATCAAGCACAATGAATCTCTTTGCAGACACACAATGCAAAGCCTAGAAGACATTTAGATATTACTAGGACACTTTTGATGATTAGAAAGCAGAAGTTATTTGTCAATTCAAAAGGGAATTTAAATTTATTTTGATACAGAAACCTAGAAAATATCAAATTATGTTTGTTTTTAAATGAAAGGTTTAATTTCTTTTAATTTTTTTCTTGTTGTGGCAGCCATTTACATGGAATTCCCACAGATTTTCCTATATACCTGGCTTGCTTAGAAGTCTGAGCACAAAGCAATCAGAGTAAAAAATACACTTAAAAGTTGCAGACTATTAAAATGCTTTTGCCTGCAGGGCAGCAGGTTGCACTTAAGTAAAACCAGAAGTAGGCCAGGCTTGCAATTACTCTTCTAGGTGTTCTTTATCAGAACTCTAGGGAAAATGACTGCTTGTGAAAGAGGTCTGGAAAGTTACTAAGTTCAGGCTTCTAGCAGTTACAAATATAGTGCAAATAATGGATCAGTGTTCAAAGCACTCTGCATGAAATTTCATGCTAACCTACATAGCTAGCAACTTCACTGTGTCAAAAGTAATTACCTTCTTGATGTAGCAGATATAACATGTGTTTAAAAACAGCATATGATTACAGATACTCAGAACAGGGAAATTACAATGGAATGAATAGCAGTAGGTCTGGCCGAATTGATAAAAGATAAAGCTTAAAGGAATAATGAGAGTGATGTCAAATCCAGTGAATATAACATAAACAATTCAATATGATAAAGAAGGATTAGGAGACAAAGGCATCATGCAGTTTCAAGACTTTTCAGAAACAAGTGTACACTGCTGTAATTGAATAGAACTTGGTTAAAGAGAAATCTGAAAAAGCATTACATTGCATTATAAAGAAAAACACCGTGTAAAACCCAAAAGCTTGAATTTTTCTTTCTGCTAGGAGTATTTAACCAATAATGTAATCAAAATTGAAATTTTTGCAGAGCAAGACTTTAAACGAAATAATACTGAACATTAAAAGCTTTGTAATAATGTACCAGTTTGACTATCAGTAATATGTTCAGAACATATTTCATATGTTAGGTAGTCTTAAAGGAAATAATGAAATATTGAACAGAGGCAGTGAAAGTTGATAACTTAATAGAGAGATGAAAATCCACTTCATTAAAGTATTTGCTTAATGTATTTTTTTTTCCATAATTAACAGAAGTAAATCCAGTTAGCTGCTGTAGTAGCAGATGTGTTGTTAACATTCATAGCTGGTTCTACCAGGTTTTGTCTTTCAAATATCTTTGTGAGCTCCATGGTCCACATACATTACACAAACAGAAAAGTCAAAGTAAGATTCAATTTCTTTGCCAAAACCAAAAGTACAAAGAAGCAGAATGGTATAAATTAAGGAAAGGAGAAAAGTTTGCATCCTATCCCAGAACAGACATCTAAAGCAGATGGTATGATTTTTCTTCATTTATTACAGTGATATAGTTTACACAGCTTAATTAATGGATAGCTACGGGTAAGATGAATCCCACTTTTGGGATTCACTTTTGTGACTAACAAGATACTTGCATAGAAGCAAATTCTAAGAGTCTTTATAAACAATACCTGAAAGACAATTCTGTCCTAAACATTACAAGGTACCACAGAATCCCTGAATAACTGAGGTTTGAAGGGACCTCTGAAGTTTATCTAATTTAATCTCACCTGCTCACAGTAGGGTCAGCTACAACAGGTTTCTCAGGACATTGTCCAGTTCAATTCTAAATATCCCCAAGGATGGAAACTGCAATCTCTCTGGCCAACCTGTTTCAACGATTGCCTGCCCTAACAGGAAAGAAAGAAAGAAAAAGAGGGAAAGAGAGGAAAGAGAGGAAGGAAAGAGAGTAGGGAAGGCAGGCAGGCAGGGAGGATGGAAGGAAGGAAATTTTCCTGCATTCAATTTGTGTCAGTTGTTACTTATTGGGCAATTACTTGCTGGCAGAGCCTGGGAAACTGAAAAAGGCATACAGAACTTCGCAAAGTGCTAACAGACATGATTAAGAGCTTAGATTGTCCTCTCTGGCCACATGAAAGCATTTCTCTAATGATTAATATATTTTTTTATAAGAATAAATATATTTGCAAAACATCATTTGCCACAAGCAATATCATGGCAGTGGAAAAGCACACCTGGAGATCAGATTAAAAAAAATCATTTTTCTTCCATCTCTCATAGTCCTTTTCCAGAGGTTCCTGCTACTCTAAGCTATCTTAGAACTTGCTGCAATGTATCTACAGATTGCCAGTAAGAAGAGCTATTCTAAAATATATGGAAAGTATGTAGTACCCATTTTTCAGAGACTGCAAGTTATCTAGGTGGGTCATCAGTATATTTTCTCAAGTTTTAGTAATACAGGTTATTAATAAATACACTAAATCTGTAAGTATAGAAGAGTACATCAGGTTTAGCAGCTTGACACATTTCTTCTATTATGGATGCACTAATGAATTAAAGATCTTACTCATCCAAGAGCACTTCTCACTTAGCTTTTGAATAATCCTATTTCTTCTAATAAAAAAGACATAGATTTGCTTATGCATCAACATAAGGGCAGCTATTACTTTTGGAAATGCATTTTTGTTTCTTATCTATTTTTTCCACCATAAAACTCAATCAAACTAATAAATCCTCCAAAATAACAACAACAAACCCCAAACAAAATCCCCTTTAAGTCATATCTTGATTGGTTGGAAATCCACAGTGGTATGCTCAAACAACTTGACTTTAGTATAGGCACAGTATCAGGAGGCAGTTCTGGCAGTATGAATTTGATCTGTGTCTTTACATATGCATACTGAGAATGAAATCTATGTAGGCAAGCATTCACAGGAAAACAATTGTATTCCATACCCCACAAAAATGTTTTATTTGTCCTTTGGCACCTTTATACATATCATTCCTGGTCTAGAATACTTTTTTTTTCCCCTAAGTAATTTAAATCAATAACATAAAATCATTTTTTTCAACACAAGCCCTCAAGCATATAATGAAAAGCAAAAAAAAAGGAAAAAAAACAACTTCTCCTTGGCTCTATGGGTATTCATTCTGTTTTATAAATGTGTAGTATAAATATGTAAACCAAACCAATCAATATTTCCTAATGTTTAATTCCAGAATTCTTAGGTTTTACTGTGTCCTTGTAATTCCCTGAATTTATTTCAGAAATGTTGTAATGTTCTAAAAATAATACTGCTTTTAAAAAATGCAGCCATCTTTTGTCTCATTTTGGAATAAGAACTAGCAAATTAATTATATTACATAAAACATTTTTCTCCCAAGAAATATACATTTTTGTCTGTACCTATTTTACATTAAAAATGTTGATTAAACTTATATACTTTAACAATAGAAATACCTCCTGAGTTTATATGTAAGTATGATGAAAGGAACACCTGAAATCCTGAAAAGGTTACTGTAGTGAGGTGAAACTGTTCAGTTGCTGATCTCCTGTCAGCATTGTAGCAGCCTCCAACCTGCTTCTATAGTGATCCAGTAGCCTGCGTGGCAGAACGTGAAGAATAGCCATCTGTGCCAGGTATGGCAGCAGGTGCTGTATCAGCTGCTGCTGGATGACAATAAGTCTCTTCCAAGCACCTGGCAACTTTGACAGACACTTTTATCTTTGTATAATAACACCCCACCACCTCAAAAAGTTCTCTGAATAGAAATGAGAAACTCAACAGAACACCAGCTGATAAAGGCCAGAGCCTATTCCACTGCAGATGTGAAGTCTAGGTAACAGGGCTTACTCATGAGTTCTTTATCAGGCACAGCAGTCATTTTGTTTCAGTACAGTATTGCTAATAAACTTGTATAAGGCAGATCTTGAAGCAGGATAACAGGTATTAAAAATAAATGGTTTGTCATTAAAATTTTACATAATTCTGTTTGCACAGATGTGACTGGTGCTAATAAAACAAAATAGGATAGCTCATCATTAGGAGATTCAAACAATAACAACTTTTCAGCATATCCATCAATAACTCTATACCTGAAGTTTTTGTAGGAAGAAGATATACATAAGAACACTTGATCAGGTTGTTTTAAAAATATTTTAGGAGTCTCACATACATTTACAAATAGATATGTTTTGAACTCAGGACTACTATTAACTATGTTGATGAAAAATAGTTCTTGAGATATACTACTCAGCTGAATACTTCAGAAAGTACCGTGACTTCATGAACAACAGATCTCCACGTCTGGATCATTCAATTTTGTCTCCAGTATTAGCTGAATTTCCTCTGTTGTCTGCTGTTTAACAGTGGCTAATCATTTGGTCAAGTTTATATTTGTCTCTTTTTTCATCACATAGGTGATGAAAATGATGATTATAAAGAGATGGTCTTTGAAGGAAAATAGACAATATCAAGCAAAAAATGGAAGATTAGTATGCGATTCTTGTGAAGGAGAAGGCAGAACAAGCGGTTCAGTCAACCAATCAATTAACCAATCCCAACAGAATTCTGTATACTAGAAACCAATATTCTCTAAAACTAAGTTATCCAAATAGAAAAAAACCCAAAAACCAAAAATAACCCCCAAAACCAAAAACAAACAAACAAACAATACCCTAAAAACCAAAACCCCAAACAAAACAAAATAAACAAACAAAAAAACCCCATCAAAACAGGACTAATCTTATTTTTTATAAAAGTAATCACTTTGAAGAGGTATATAAGCAAAAAAATCTGAAACTCTCTGTAAAGAGAATGCCTGGTACACGCTACCTGTGTAATACTATTTTTAGTACAATGGAGAGGCCAAAATGAAGGTGCAATCTTCACAACAAAATCTTACACTTCTGTTACTTTTAACTTTTCTGCAAATGCTTTTAAAATAACAGGATAGGCAATTTTTGGCTTCCCAAGAACATCACTACAAACAGTTAGAATGGGCGAGACTTTGAGAGGTTTGTCCAATTCATTTTTAGTCAAAAAGCATTTAGATGCACAGAAAAAGAAGCACTCAGAAAGCATGTGAACCAGGAAAAAATCATCAAAGTCCCCATCGAGTAAAAAAAATTATCTTTCTGTCCTGCTGACTAGCCAAGGAAGAGGGGAAAATTAGCATTAGAATCAGAGATTACTGAACATAATATGAGGCATATGAAATTGTATACTCTGAAAACTGAAAACCCAGCTAAGAGAAAGTGGAGTTTTCCTTCCTGGGTGTGAAAGATGCTGGGGAAAATTCTTTTGAGAGAAAAGAGCAATTTTACAGTTACACATAGGTGAAGTTTTGAAAGGATGCTGAAGTACATGAAAAGAAAAAAAATAGAAGGGAATACATTGAATAAAAAAAACCCTCAATAATTAAAATAAATATATTTTCAATATCCTTACCATTTTAGAAGCATTAACAAGTAAAGAAGTTTGATATATACTTTGTTCAGAAGCTCTTTCTACTCACCTTGGGACATCTCTCCTGTATGAAAATCAGGAGAAACATGTTTAGACCAAAGTTCCATAGACACAGCCAGAGCTGATGGAAGGTCATTGTCTAAAATTTCAGCAGGAAACACTTCAGCTACTTCAGTGAGAATTTTCTTGCTTTCTGGCATAACAGGTAAACAGGTGATATTATTTATTCCATCAACACAAAGAAACCCAGTGGAGCAGGAATGTATAAGACAATCATTGTAATTAAGCTCACAGCTTCGTCCCTGAAAGAGAATTTTCAAAAAAAAGCCATTTTTTGAAGGCAATTTACTTTTTATTTTGATATTAGTTACAATTATTGTTTTTTTATTCTAAAATATTGTTTGCTTATATTAAGCTGTTTACACTTTCAAAAGTAAATATCATGTGGAAAATATTCCTTAACTAATTTAATAGTATAGTTATGTATTTTTAATTTTAACTAAGTGATATTTTTACTCTGATTACCAATAAAAAATAATTTCGCTACAGACTTATAATTACCAAGTATCAAAGACAATATTGTTACTAGTAATAAAAACTGGTTAAAACAATAATCTTCAGTTAGCTTGTAGGTTTACAAAATACTTTTTACTGGGGACTTAGCTGTCTAAAAACCTATGACTTGCTGTGACTTGCAAGCTTATGTTCTTTCCTTTTGTACGTGGCAGTCCATTGTCTGTTGTCTGTTGTTACCAAATATAGGCACAGATGCCTGTTAATACCTTGCATTCACAGATAATGCTTAGAAAAGGAAAAATATAGTGGCAGTTTCAAATTGGACCAGGCATTCATTTCTTATTTTTTATCAAGACTAACAATTCATGGGAAGTCTGAAATATCCTCCGTAGCAATAAAGTAAAAATGTTCATATTCAGTGGTCTGTAAAAAAGGCAAGGAATAATTATGTGAATTAAATGCATTCTTGAAGTGTGAAATAAATATATGGTGAAGTCAGGCCTGTGTTCATTTTATTTTCACTTCTGTTGCAATGAACTAATAGGCTACATGAAGAGAGACAACTAACAGCTATCCTAGAATAATTCTACATATTTGGAAAACTATTTAAAATATGCATACTGTCATCCCTGAAGACATACCTCTCTGACAATATATCATCATTATATAATTTCTGACTGAATCTTCTCCTGCAGCAGGGGTACATGTAAAAAAATGCAAGCCTTCTCTAGAGCTCAAGAAGCATGTGCTCATTACACACTTTCCTTCAGACTAATGCTTAAATAGTCTTTCATGTCTCCTGGCTGACTATTCACATAGGACTTGGGACAACTTACACTTTATGAGATCTCTGTCAACTCTATTATATTAATTTATGATATTAAAAAACAATAGGAAGGACAAGAAAGAGAGAGAGGAAGAAATGTAGACATGAAAACTGAAATTACTTTTTTTACAAGTAGTTTAAATTATTCAGGGTTTAAAACAGAAGAGGTTAAATTGATGGGGTTTGAGTGATTTAGATACATTCATGCTTGTTTCAATCAACTTCTTAATTTGTTTTGGCAAGCAGATGAGCTATTTGGTAAATTCATGGCATCTTATAAAATCACTCACTGTATTGGTATTCCAAAGCACAAAGGAACAACAGGCCAATTAATATGTCAGTTTTGATGCCTTTCCTCCTTGTGCTTTTCTAATTCCACACATAGAACAAATGATCAGTTTGAGCAAGCTCATAATCGTTCTTAATCTTATAAAACTTATGTTTCACTCTGACTTTCCTGTGACAGATTAGTACATTTTTATGACTACTACATTTAATGGCGAAGAGCATTTGATTACGATTTTATGACTCATAGAAACAAAGCAGATGTGGATAACCTCCAGTGTGAATGAAGGGTACATTAAGAAGTCATAGATAAATTTAATAGCACTGAAAGTGCCTGTAAATGCCTTAACAGTTTCCATGCAGGGGGATGGAATAATTTAGCTTGTGCAGATTTGTACTTAAAAGCAGGTATATGTCTATAGATGGTTCCACTTAAAAAGTAAACATTTATTTCATATACCACTGGCTATGCTTTTCTTCTCAAAATTTATGAGAGACTTCACAGTCTATATTTTATGATCCATACTTGGGTAGCAGTACAGACATAGACTACAGAAGATTTACATACACACTGTAGCTGAAGTTCCTTGAATACTTATTTCTTTGTGAATTTCACTGTTTCCACTCTACACCCACTCATGGTTAAGAACAAAAACCCATTGGGGCCTTACAAATATACTTCTTGAGGTGTTTAGACCACAACATCTCATCTTTGACACTGAAGATAAGTATGTTAAAAATGTTTCTGTGGTGGTTCCTCCACTGTGTTTTCTTATTTTTATATTCCTTCCCAAAGCATAGTGGAATTGGAGGAACTGAAGATGGAAAAATTACTAATGGAATAAAAAGAAAGATGATACATCTTAAATTTCAGCTGCTTCAAAGAGTTGCTACTTTTCCTTCTGCAAGGGCTTGCTTGTTCTGCAACATACTGTACAATCAATGCTCAAGCTATGTACTAATAGAAAAACTGCCCCCATGGGTCAAATATCTATCTAGCTCCATCATCAGTGAGCTATTAATGAATACTTTGGGAAAAAAAACAGGAAGAAAACAAGCAGAGCTAGCACCTGGTAACTCACCAAATATTCCAACTTTTGGCAATAAGTAAATCAAAGACTCCCTGGGCCAGGGTTACATTCAGAAGAGTAATTTGAATAACAATGAATCTATCCTACTTCTAACCCATTTTTGGGTTTATTTGTACTTCTGGTCTCTTCAGTGTCACACAACACTGACTTGTACCAAAAAAATTTTGCACTAAGTGAAAAAAATAATTTCTCTAAACAGATTTTAATATTTCTCTCTGGTGGTTTTATTTGGCATTCAGATTTGTTTTGGTGAGACATAAATGGTAAAAAAATTGTGTAACTGATCTTCTCCATTACAGTTGCTCATGTGAGATAAGCATGAATATTTAATGAAAAAATGAGATTATTTTAACATAAGGATCTGACTGTTTTCCATATAAAAAGACTACGGCACTCAAGTGATATATCCTTCATCATCACTTGACATTGTTTTGAAAGCCACTCTGCTTTAGAAGACAAAAAGACAGCAGTTATCATGGTCTGTGGGAAGTATTAATGTTACCCATTCTACTCTGTAAAAAACACCTTTCAAAAAAGGTATTAATTTTTATGAGATAGTTTGTTCCTTCTCAGAATAGTTTTTCAGTAAATTTAGTCCGATTATTTGCATTGCTAAGATCCATTTTTACCTACCAAACCTTCATGGTAACACACAGACTTTACAGAAATGCAGACAAAGAGTCACTGGAACAGGGAGAAATTCCTGGTGAATTCCTTGAACAAAGCATATGTCTGTGATTCCATTTCATTCAATAAGTATATCAACAATTCTGAGCAAGCTTAAAAAGAGAAAGGCTTACATACAGTATTTTCTGTGCAATGCTGAATAGCATTGGTATAAGGAAAGATAAGAAAGGATTTCAGCATCTCACCACAAATCCTGGCTTGCAAAAACAGGAATAACCAAAGCTGGGCTCCTTCTGAACACAGATACCATGTATGCAGGGGTTGGATATGCACTCATCAACATCCAACTCACAATGGAGGCCTTCCCATCCTGTCAGAAAAAAAATAAAAAAAGCAAAGCAAACCCACAGTGAGATTCATTAAAATCTACATCCAATTACTGAGTGTCAATGGAACAAAGATCTGGGCAACTATCATCCATTTTTACATATATAGAGAAATATATTATGGTCTGAATATGAACTCATTTCGGCTGTGGCTTCTCAGAGTAGAAAAAAATAAATGAAAGAAGTTAAAAAGATTACTATACCAGATCAATGAGGAGGACAATTTCTGAGCAAAAACAGCTTTGTGTTTTAACACTATGAGATTCTGTCTTCTCACAGTTCATTATTCAGATGACTTAAAAGTTTATTGAAATGCATTTCTTACAAAAATCTCCTTTACAAGTAAGTACACCATAAATTAGAGGCTAAATACTCATCTTGAAGCTGTGTTTTAGATCATGTAATTTAAGCCTGTCTTGAACTTGCTCCTTGTAGGCTAAGCTGAAATGGAATCATTCCATTTACTTGGTAAATACAAACCCAGAATTCTGTAAAATATGGTTAGTTATTGAAGAACATCGGACTTTCTGCCATGATATTCCCACCACCCATTACAGATTTTTGGTTTTTTCTTCATTTTACTATTTCTAAACAAACTAACAAAGAAAACCCAACAGCCCCACAAGCCCTCTAGCAGTCCTCAGCTGCTACAAATCTAATTTGTAGTAACCACTGTTCAGACTTTGCCTTAGAGTATGCATCAAATGGATTCACCTGTTGCATTCTAATCTTGCTTTACCTGCCCTGGTAGAAGAGCAGGCTGCCCAGTGAAAGACTTCACATCCTTGAGCCTGCTATTAGTTCCAACAGCTGCTGTTGTTGCTTTTGAGCTGTCTGAGATGCAGTTAGAATACAGTTTGCATCTCTCCATGCTGCTTCTGCACCTGAACAGCCCGAAGCTGCAGCCACAGAGCTTGAACATGCGTTTATTATTCTAAGGGTATGGGGCCTGCTACTGGGACAATAGCTGACAAAATTCATGATCCATTACAAAATGCATTTGTCAGAGCTAAATCCATTCCCTTTCCTGTTATCACATGCTGTCACCACATGCTTCACTTTGTTCTCTGGAGGTTCTTGGAAAGCTGCAATCATCTGCCTTGTTCCTATTTCAGTCTTGGTACAATCCCTTTTCCATTTCATTAAATTACAACAGGGAATCTGTTGAGGGGTATATCAAACTATCTGCCCAGTTCTTTCCCATTGTTGCCTTTATAGACCAAAAAATCCCCAATCGCACCCATATTTCTATGGGTGAAGCTTAGAAGAGAAATATAAAATCTATTATATGTGAACAGTCAAAGCCTGAAAAAAAAAAAGGAAAAAAAAAAAAGCAGATTTTTTTCCTAGGTATTTCCACTTTCTCCCTCTGGATGATATTTTTTTCTTCTAATCCTTTTCTTCAGTTGTACAACTTCGAAAAAAGTTATTCCTCTCAAAAGTTCCCCTGCCACTCCAAATTTGCTGCTTTTCAGAGCCATAGCCTTCTCATCTCTTCATCTGTTTTATATACTCAAATAACATTTGAAAATGCTGTATTTATTAAAATACACCCAAGATATGTAAAAATTATGCATATACTTAATGCATGGGGTTATTTTTCTGTGTTTTTACCTGGTGGGAAAGTAATTTACAGATCTTTCACCCCTACTAGCATATGGTATTACTAAAAGGAATATAAAAGAAAGGAAGATTATACTTGGGTTGGAGGGAGTTTAAAAATATGTTAGCTGTAGGAGTGAGTTCCAAGGCCCCAGAGAAGTTTATTCTACCTATATCAAGAATTTCGATGTTGCATAGAGACAGCAATCACTTGGCTACCAAGCAATTTTTAAAGACCTGTCTTAAAATATCTTTGATGTATTATCTTAATAAGCTTTAAAAATAAGGCAAAAAAATGGACCTGGCAATGTGTTCTGCATGAAACACTTTAATGACTAAAAATACATCTTTTAAGTTTTTAAATCATTAATATTGGTGGAGGGGGATATGGCCATATGCAGTACCAGGTGGATATATGTAGTACTGAAGTTGGGTCATGACTCAGATTTTTTAAGATCAGAAAGATCTTTATTATCACGAATTCTATATAAAATGTCCAAAAAAATTTCACTCATTGGTTCATACATCAAAATTATGGTATTTTTCTGAATTATCAAGTACCTCTTTAACATTAAAAAAGTTGCTAAAAAATTATTAAGCTGTAAGCAACATAGTCATACAAATAATTAGCCTTTAGTAAGCCAAACATACTTAGATTTAAGTCTTACATGTTAGAAAACCATTCCTTATTATCAGTTAAACAAATTTATAAACTGCCAAATTGATTCTCATTGTACGCATGCATTTACTTCAGTATCTTCCATATTTTTTGAATAAAATCTCTTACATATAGTTTTGTAAACTGCATTAGGATTAATTTAGAATGGAAAAAAAAAGCAAAATATATTAGTATTCAATTAATTATGTGCTTTCTTTGAAATGTAGGACAAGAATGAGTAGAAAGATTCTAGAAAAGTGGAATATATATGGTCATGACTTCAGGAGAGTTGGTTAATATGTTATTGCTTGTAAATTGAAAGCAAAAATGTGAAGATATTTTGGGGCAAAGTAACTAGATCAGACATATGGAGATAGCATGGGTTAACAGAAAATTTGTCATCCAGAATATATCTAAATAATCTTAAAATAACCTGTAAGAAACCTCATGTCAGTACTATCACAGAAATCATTCAGCAGCTCAAGTCAGTAAAATAGTAAATAGATTTAAACTATTTTAAAAATTAAAGTTTCAGGAGGCAGGTACTCATATATTTCTTAATTTAAGAGTAACTTATAGAGCAGAATGCTACCTATGTATATGTTGAGAAAAGGCTTTTTTATTAGTAGACATGACTGGAGATTGTAAGTAGTCCTGAACAAATGCAATTTGTGATTGCATGACAATGCAGGCTGATTGTGAACTTGCTTTTTTTAAAATCTCTTATATTTTCGTAAGCTACTAGACCTGTTTTAGTTGATCTACACCAGAAATAAAAAGCAGTTCCCACTTTTTAAGAAAGTGCCTTTTTTTCATTCTATATACAATGTTTTTAAAAAAAATTATTTTAATCCCAGCCCGGAGAATAACTATGGATATGTTTTACAATATCAACACTAAGGATAATAATAAAAATGTTAGTTAAAGTGTTCAGTCAAATTTCTTTACAGTCAATCTCATTCTATAAATAGTGAAACTATTAGTGACTATTTGACTGTTAAGTCAGTAAGTTACATAGGTAAAGATCATAAAGAATAAACTTGGCTCTAGATAATACTTCAGACTCCCTCAGTAAGGTGGTTTTATTTTGAAGCCTTTCTCATGTGCTTACTAGAGTAATTAATTCTCTTTAGATTTCATTCAAAAATCTTGCCAAAGAGACAGCATTTTTGTACCTTATAGTTTATATACAACAAAACAGCTTGATGTGATTTACCAGTTTTCTCACTAGTAACCCTGATAATTCAAAACTATCATAGTTTAAGATTGCTCTGCCATATAGCAGTTACCTTGTTGACATTTACAAGTGTATCCATTGATATCATCAGCGCAAGTTGAGCCATGTAGACACGGTGATGAATTACACTCATTAACTTCCATTTCACAAAATTGTCCAGAAAATCCAGCAAGACACCTGAAGAAAACAACATTCCAAAATGTTATACTATGCATAAACATCATATATAATAGACCTTGTGTGGAAACAATGTGTCTGAAGTATGTGCATTAGCAAGACATCATCTATTACTTTCTGTTTCAATAAGTATTTTACTGGAACACTTCCAAGTTTCGTGTTGTGATATATGTTCATCTTTAAAGGGATTTATGATGGCAAAATCCATCCAAAAATTTCACATCTGGATCATAATCACGCCTAACAGTCTCAATTAGAGCGTACTGGTTCTATCAAGGTGAATAAAAACCTTTTTAGGTTTTTATTTTTTTTAGTAGACAGGAGACTCTGCTAAAATAATTTAGCTAAGTAACTGCAGCCTGTGTTTGAAAAACTGTTTACTGACAAATGTGTACTATCAAATGTAAACTACAGCATAAAAACTAATCTTTGGGGCTCAAGATTTAATTATTATTCTAGGTATAAAACACTAGTTTTCTTAAAAGTAAACTCTTCTGTATTTTTGTGGTTGTAAATTCTACGTGATAATTGATGTCAAAGTAGTTCCATATAATTTATAGTTTAAAAGACTTACAAGACCTTTAATGAAGTTCAAAAATCCTACTAATCTCATTATCGAAGCATGTCTGTGTATATAGACACAGCTTTATGGATACATGCAAATATGTTCTAAAAACCAGGATCCCATAATATTAATAGCATTTACTCTGAGATGTGTTATACACAGATATATTTCACAGGAGAAAATGTTTTCAAAAACTCCTTTTGTAACCAGGGTGCACATCTTGTATGTTGTCATGGGTCTAGTGAAAAGCACCAAGGTTAATGCTCCGCTTAAGAGGGAGATGGGTACGTCTGAGATTGAGATTGAGTAAATCCAAGTAGTCATGTCACCTACTCCTCGAGGTGCTACACTGAGTGCATACAGCATACATAATTTGCAGTGCCTACCTTAGCTTTCCAGATTGTGAAGCAAAAGAGGAGGATGGACCATGAAACACAAATGTGTGACACTTCCTGAGGGATCATTACACTATATATCAGGAATTATATTTTGGTTATTTTTGCTTTGAATATTAGACTATATTAGTTTCATTTCGTATGGAATACACTCTGGGTAATGACAATTTGGGATCTACCAAGACAATAACAACAGAATATATTTGTCAAAGTCTGCATCAACCACAGATGACAGCTGTGGTATGCTGCTTGAAAAATGTACAAACTGAAGCACACACTACTATTTTTCAAATATGTAATCATAATATATGAGAGGAAAACCATGGAAAACACACCTTAATGAATGAGACATAAGCCCACCTGTTTTTTGGTTGAAAAACATTAAAAATAATTCACTCAGAAGATGCAGTTTGGTCCTTGGATCCTATTTATATATGTCAAAGTCCAGTAGTTAGAACACAACTTCATACTGATCATTAATCACACTAATATTCTCCTATGCTCAGTGGAACAAGGAATGCAGAGGATGATTCTGCTTATTGAAATCTTAAATAGTTTTCTTCATATACCTTTGTCTTCACACTGTTTACAGAGCATATTAGGAAAAAAAAAATAAAATACCAAAAAAAAACCAAATTGAAGGGCGCAAATTTTCCCAGATTCGAAAAAGATGGAAAGAATATTCCATGAAGGGGAAAAAGGCAACCAGATACAGGGAATACTATGCGAGTTTAAATCAAATCTAACTTTATGCCTTGGTGTAATTATACAGATTTTATCTTAACAAACAAACAAACAAAAAAAAGCATTTTAGAATAAACTGGAAGAACTGGACAGAATAAGTACACCTATGTGCATGTAAGGTATGGGCTTGATTTTTTAGTTGGTAAAAGCCAAACATTGAAAAAAGGTATTTTTAAAAACTCTCCTGTTAGCTGCTTCGATTGGGTATGTTTTGATATGTGATGTGTACACTTGCTGAGGAGTAGACAGCAGTAAAGACCAGAGCAGCTTACTGAGCTCCTGTGGTCATAACTATTTGGAGCAAGAATGATTAGTGGAGCAGGTTGCTATAACTCCCATGGAGAGAATCAATAGTGTGGAATCAGCTAGATATCGCAGGTTACAGCCCGGATGAACTCTGTGCAATTTCCTGCTCAGAAAAGTTTGAGACTTCAGACACTCAAGGCTTTACAAAGCCTTGAGAATTCAGAGATATAAACTATATAGCCATGGGTCTAACTACAGATGCTGAGGTAGAAAAAAAAATATTTGTGTGAGTGTTGCATAAATGTTTGTCAAAATAACCTATTTTGTACTGCAGACTTTCCAAATATTTATTAAATTTATGATATCATATAGTATAGAGTGATTGTGGCACCACCAGAAATAGAAAACTTTTGCAAATAGGACTTTGCCTTCAAAGTGAAATTTAGATAGAAGTCTTAATGCCGTGAAAGCACTTAGATATCCATTATATCAAGTCCTGCATATATGAATAAGTACAAGGTGCCCTTTTTCCCATGTCACACAATCATTCAACTTATATAATATTTTAGAATGTTGAAAGCATTTAACATATTGACGTGTTATATTTTTTTTGCAAAAACTTGAATACTTATTCAGTATTCAGTATTCAGTTTGTTTCTGTTCAAAAAACATGATGCAATGTAAAAAATGCTTAGTGATTGCAAAGACAGACATGCTATTAACTAAATTCAGAGCAATTATGAAACAACTAGGAGTAAGCTAAAACAACAATTTAATATCAGCATCTTTCACCAATTTCCCAAAATTGTAATAAGCTTTACACTTTATTAAGCATTTTAATGAAGTTAAGACTGCTTAGGGTGTGACAAGAACTTCATAATTTCTTAACTTTTTGTTCACTCTCACTTTCCTTTATATCTACTCCTTTTAAAAAAAATGTATTTTTTTTCTGCCTCTCCACATTCTTACTTCCCTTCTGTCATTTCTTGTAGAATGTTAGAAGGGATAGAAGGAGTAGAATTTAAATCACAGAACTAATATTAGAAAGTTTAAGTAGGTATGGAATACAGTTCTTATGCTATAAATAGAAATAAACATAACTGAAATACTTTGGAACATATTTCTTCGTGGTGTTTGGGATATAAACATTCTGCAAATGAAAACTAGAGGCTTTTAGATAGCTTTCATATGAAGGTTTCATCACTGCAAATCTTGTATGCTGATTACCATCTAATAGAAAACAATTTATGTCTTTATTAGTAGATGCATATCTAGGTTTTTCAGCAAATAACTCCTAGAACTTATCTGATAAAGTAAGCTAATGCACTGAGAAGTCTGAGCTATTAAACTTACAGAAGGATCATCATAAGATCAATAGTATGGTACTGAAAGGCAGCAAAATGTAGTGTTCATTTGCTGTGAGAATAATGCAGTCACAATTTATTTTTGACAGGTTTTTGGGATGTTGACAAAGATCTTTCTCTTTTCTGTCATTCCCTGCAGATTTTTTATCTCATATAGATGCTGACATACTGTGGTGCAGATATAATCCCTTTTGTGTTGTGCCTTTATATCAATCATTATCAGGAGTAATTATCTTAATTTGAGCATATGCCAATGCAATAGCTGAACAAAAGACTGAAAAGAGAGAATTAAATGAAGGATTTTGATTTATGACAATTATGGCTATAGTCACAGTAAAATTTTTTCGTTGTTAGTAAATTTTCAGCCTCAGAGAAAATCAACAATTATCTAAACATCAGTCACATTTTGCTCTACAACACTGACTTATATCCTCTTGTAACTCACTACTCTTTGAGTCTGTTTTTTATCTCATCTTTTGAGTCCATTTTTTTAACCTGTACCCTTTTCCTTCTCTCTCCCTCTCTTCATCTGCCTTGTGACCTTTCACAGCTTGTGAATAATTTGTGTATCAGTGACATATCAGGTTCAGAAAAAACATGGTTTCTACAACACAGAAGTTTATTAGGTTTATCTAGAGCAATGATTAACACCAATTGTACTTAGAAGAGAATGTTTATGCTGTAACCTTTACCTGCCTATGTGCCTCAGCCAGCCTGGTAAAATCAATGAATTTTGTAGAGCAGTCCACACTATGAAATTTTTTGGGGATCAGTTTTACCTTGTGACTGTTAACATTGATTATTTTGGTAATGTTTTGCTAATACCTCTAGGTTAGATAATCAGGATGTTGGGGAGAATAATAGATGAATGTGAAAAGCACATTTCTGAGCAACTGCCTTAGCTAAAATAGTCTTGTAAATGTGCAATCTCTTTTGACATTAGTAATGATTTTTTTTTTCAAATCTGCATTTTCTGTCCAAAATAAATCTAGTTAACTGCCCTACTGTAACAGACCAGATCTGTCACTGCAAATTTACACTGGGATTGCTATACATTATTAACAAGCTATGAAAAGTCACTGGCTAAATGTCATGGACGCTGAGATATAGCAGCACCTTGGGATTCATATAGCAAACAGTTTAGTTTTAATCATCTTGGATCACAAGGTGCCTTGACATTTGCAAGGCAACTTTTTCCTTTTTAACTTCCAGTGGAATCATACCTCTATTATCTCAATCATAATTCTTAACTTCAATTGTGATAGAAAGTTTTACTGTCTAAATTAAAGAAATGAAAAATCGATCAAACATGGACCTTGTAATTCATTTAATCGATGCTCATATGCCAGTTTGGGAGGAAAAAAGAAAAGCAAGGGAAACCAGATAATTTAACCAGCTTCAGGATTATTAAAGACATTTCCTGTCAAATGCATGATCCTTAGCACTAATGAGGCGTGCCCTCATGAGAAGTATTAGCACTACAAACTTTTGCAGACCATTTTTTATTTTAAAGAAAAAATGAATAAAATCACTGATTCATTTTAAATATACATATCAATGCAACATGATTTCTAAAAGCTTTAAATTTTTGGCAGGGGGGAAATTTTTCTAGAGTGATAAATAAAACATTCAGTCTTTATCATACTTTACTCTCTACCAGCTAACCTTTTAGATAGTAAATTTCAA